TGATGTGAGTACCGCAGCGAGGGGAAATGGGGTAGGGGGGTGGAGTATCTCGGGAATGGGTTTTCCAACGGTGGCAAAAAAGAGTACCTTAAACCTAACTTAGCCTAGGAAAAATAATAAGTATTAATTAGAGGAAGGGGGGGGGGGGGTGCAAAATTCTGCCTCGTCACAAATGTTTCCGCAGTTGGTCACTGGTTAAAAACGCATACCTGGTACCTCCTTCGGTCATCCATAAATAGTCAGTTGTTGGAACAATATATCCAAAAAGCTGGAGTCTCGGAGATATACTTTGCAAAACGGGGTGTGAGTGAACTTTAAAAATCCTTTCGGATGTTTTCTTGACAACAGGTCCCTTTATTGATTGGAGTTGGAGTTGGAGCTCGGTTGCGGTTCTAACCTTATCCGATGCCTTTTCCGCAGTAAAAAACCAAAGCTTGGTCCTTAAATCGTCATACATCTTATCTAATCTGGCTGTAAAATTTGTGACCTTGGTCGGAGAATTAAAATATAATAATTTCCGGTCAACCCACGATATTATTTATTCACTTAGATCTGGATGAGAAATTGAGAAATTGTATTGTATGGGAGGGCCTGAAATGATAAGAAAAAGGGGGGTTTTGAATAATTACTCGGGGGGGATTAATGAATTACTAAATTATATTCTAGTCTAATTATATTCATACAAAAGATCTCGATTTTGAAGTCATTTGGACCAGGGATGGGCAACCTTCAGGTAGCTCGGAGCAGAGTCATAAACTCGAGTTAGAAATCCAATGAAGTTTATAACCATGCCAATTATAAGGGTCCTCGTACGATCATAGTAGGGACAGTAGTGGGGGCCTCACAGTCACCGTATTGGGGAGCGTCCCATGACGTCTCTGCCAAATGGTAAAATGGGGAAAATGGCCGCCGTGATTAATATAAAGAGAAAGTTAAATATCCACACATGGACAAAAACTTTTCTGAATATGAAGATAACTATTGGTCATTGAAATAAATATGAAAGTACTCTTCAAATTCAACTTTCCGAATAAATGACATCTTTCAGCTTGCTTTTTAAATTTTTGGTCCAATATCGACCTTACCGAAAAATATGTCTAGGAAAAAATCCCAAACATTGCAGTTTTGACTGGCTGATGTTGATTCTGAATATAAAAAAGGAATATTTTTTAAAAATAATATTTTTAAAAAATTTTCTTCAAAGAACCTTGTGGAATTTATTCCTTGCCTTTGAAATTACACAGTCGGTCTTTACATTTCATTTGTAACGTCTGCTTTCAGAATTAATAAAAATGTCATCGTGAAGAAAATTCTACATTTTCCATTTTTGACTAATTTCCCCGCTTTTCCTTTTCTTCCGCGATATTTCTCCTCTACTCCTGTTCTTACGTGTTACCCCCACTTTGGTTGATTTCAGCCGAGGAGAAGGCCCTTTACGACTTGGGTCATAAAGGCCCATCACCCGACACAATGAGCTTTCGTCTACCCTTTGTTATGTACTAATAGAGGTCGGGAGCACAACTTGCTCTCAGAGCAGAGGTTGCCCATCCCTGATTTGGACAATCATCCAGGCCTTTTCTTAATTATTAATCAAGTGTGGGGGGTTAGGCCAGCCAGCTTGCGACACACCGGTAATTAATAATAATAATGAAAAGAATAATGTGCAAAGGAAAAGAGAAAGAAAAAAGTTAGGGGAACGATTTCAATATCCGATTATAGGGGGGTTGTTATGATGATCACAACAAATATTCCTACTCCACACAATTACACTAATAATTAGTAAATGTTGTGGCTCACCGTTGGGGGGGGGGGGTAATATTACTGGGGGTGCGTTGCGATTTGTTGGGGTGGGAAAGGTACTGAAGGGTACTCAAGGGGATGGCGGCTACTCTAATGGTTCCAATAAAGTCCTCCGGAGGCAAGAAACTCCTCCAACCAAAATCCTCACTGCAGGGAACTCCAGTAGCAATTTTGCCTACACTAGCCATGCCTCTGTTCGTCACTCCTGGGTCTTATGTATTCCTCCACGGGCCAGGAGCACACGTTTCCCTCCACAAATAATCCTGACAAAACTCCTCCAAATACTCTCATAGTACTCGCCTCAAACTACTCTCCGAATGACTCCTCAAAAATACTCTCCAAATAACTCTTCCAACTACTCTCAACGATTATCCTTTCCGCAGTGGCAGCTGTATCACGAGTAATGGCTTCCCCATACTCGTGGTTATTCTTCCTCGATTATCGGTAATAATCAGGGTCAATCGGGGACACTCGTAATCGGGTGTCCCAATTATTAGTCGTTCCGGGATTTCTTTCTCTTCCGGGGTCACGTGGTGAGTGACGTCTCCGTGGGGGGTTTTCTCATCTTCCTTCCGTGTGGCGTGCGGCGACGAGGGGACGCGGCTGGGGGGGCGTTTTCTCCTTCTCTCGATGATGGTGTTCTCAGCGGCATGAGTGTAGTGATGGGTGAGGGCGCGGGGCAAGGAGAAGAAATGTTTTGGGAGTGGGAACCAACGATGACAGGTTTTATAACCTCGTCTATTTATTTCGCTTACTTTACTTAAATTTAACAAAAAGTTATTATTAGGGGGCAGGGGAGGGGCTGAAAAAAAGTGCCTCGTCACAATTTATTTATGGGGGTTTTTATCTGAACAATTCTTTTATCCAGATCGATGGAAGAATTTGTTTTCTGGGCGTTGAGCGAGAACTGGTATAAGTCGTTCATCTCCTTGGTGACATTCGATGAAAATTTCCTATGGTCGGTTGCTTCGTGGGTATTGAAAGGACACAAATGGTCACGGAGGGCTTCCCATTTTTGCCGATTTATGTCGTTCGAAGGTGACCACATTGGTGCTATATATCGAAAGATTTGAGGCTGTTGGAGACTACTGCGATTGATATACCGAGACACAAGTGGCGTTATCGGTTCGGAGTGCATGTAAAGTTCCTGTAGCTTGATGCTGGTGAAAATTGTCCATTGTCCCGTGATCCTCTTTACTGGCTCCATTCCTTCCAGGTAGAGTCCGGAGGGAGTGGTGAATTGTCTTTGATCATGTAGCCGCCCCTGGGCTATGGCTTCTTGTATGAGCAAGTAAAAAAAAGATCAGTGGCAGAAAGGAAGATGAAGACGGCTTTTGAAAAGAATAAGATCGATTAATAGATGACCTGTTTATTGTAATTTTTAGTTTTTCTTGTTGCATGTTTCGTGGTAGATAAGGATGAGTAAAAGAGTATGTCGCGGTGGTGGGTCGAGAAGAAGGGAGAGGAAAGGCTGGTTTTCCCTTGGAGACGTACTTGAGTACCTGAGTCCCAATTTTCTTTCGGCCCAAATATAGATATTCATAGCGCACGTGCGCGAGGGATCGGATTGTTGTTATATTTTCTTATTCGCAAAACATTAGTTTTCGCACGTGGCGCAAAGAGAGGGAGAGATTGAAAAGGTATTGAGAGAAGGCCTTAGAGATGTTAGAGGATCGGTGCCTCCAGTAGCCTAAGTGAGAGAGAGAAGAGAGTGAGAGGGAAAGCGATAGAAGTGCTAAAGCGTAGGTGCCTCTAGCTTCCTAAGGGAGAGGGAAAGAGAAAGAGTGAAAGAGAGTGAGAGTGAGAGGGAAGGCGATAGAGGTGCTAACGGGTAGGTGCCTCTAGTTTCCTAAGAGAGAGAAAAAGAGAGAGAGTGAAAGAGAGGGAGAGTGTGAGGGAAGGCGATAGAAGTGCTAAAGGGTAGGTGCCTCTAACCTAAGTGAAAGGGAGAGAGAAACAGAGAGAGAGTGTAGGAGAGAGAGAAAAAAGGAGAGACATTACTATACTTTTATTATTATTATTATTATATTTTTTCCTTAGGGCAAGGAGAAGTTCCTTGGCCCCGCATAACTTTTAAGTTTAGGGATTGGGCGGTGAATAAGGAAAAATAGAATTTTTTTTTTTAATATATATTTTCACCTCTAAGTTTTTTTTCTAATGAAGCCTCTAATTACAAATTTTTCATAAATCTAAATACAGGGTTTTTTTTTTTAATACAGGTTTTTTTTTCTTACCTAATTACAGGATTTTTTTTCTAAATCTAAATACGAGTTTTTCCTAGGATCTAAAATTACTTAACTATTAAAAAACTAATTGCTAATCTAATTCTACGTATTCCACTATGCGTGACGTGGTCCGTGGGTACCAGGGGCGTTGTACCTCCCGGACGAGATGCACTTCGTTGTCCGGGGCTCCTGATACTGAGCCTGGAGACCCAGTATACAGGGTGTCCCAGAAGTAGATGCTAATCCTTTACCAGCATGTACAGGGGGTGATTCTGAGCCGAGAAGTCCTTTTCCACTTTTGGATCAGAAGCACCCGCCCGGAGATATTGGGGTACATACGAGAGCCAATGACGCTGCAGCGTTAAACGGCAGTACGTCCGTGTGGCTCCGCACACACGCATGACCGACACCCCTTCCAGGCAGCGGGCTACGCTTTTACCGTCGCCGATGAGTGAGAGAGCAGTATCATCGATTCTCTCTCTCGCTCTCTCGCATCATTCAAGCGAAATATTTTTGCAATTATCTATTAAACAATAAGGTTTCTGGCATTTTTCCATTGATTATTATTTGTTGCAAATTGAATTTGCAACAAGATAGTCTCATGGAAAAATCACATGGGCCCAATTGTTTATTTAATAATTGCCATTAACTGCTTAAAAGTTTTTGAAAGTTATAAAAAAAACGATGGGCCGTACGGCATTTTTCCTTCAGACATTTTTCGTTGCAAATTCCATTTGCGACAAAAAATAACTAATGGAAAAATCTCCGAAACCCCATTGTTTATTAGAAAATTGATGAAGAGCGTGTTTCTACCGATTAATCCGAAAATCACAGCGATCGCCCTGTCGATGATCTCGCGTCCTTTTCTAGCACGCACGTGTTCTCGCCCGCGAGTCTTTTGTTTTACAAATTTTTTCACTGTTTTTTGCCGGAGTGGTCATTCGTTTTGTGACAGCCGTGTGATTAACTGTGATAATGGTGAGGTTTACGGCAGCAGAATACGCGGACATGGTTGCAGTGTACGGTGTTGCGGGTGGAGTTGCAGCAGAAGCGACTTTATGCGGTGCAGTTTCCGAATCGGTTGCATCCTGACCCTCGCACCCTTCAAGGTGCATACCAGCGGCTGAGGGAGGATAACCTCCTCCCAAGGCACGGGGAAGTGCGCCCTAGACGTGGAGATCGTGTCCAGGTGGAAGAGGAGATTCTGGAGACGGTCGAGAACTCTCCGGAGTTGTCCGTCCGGGGAATTGCATCGGCCCTTGGAACCACCCGTTCCACGGTGCATCGCGTGCTGAGGGTTGAGGGCTTGCATCCCTGGAAATATACCCCGGTCCAGGAGCTGAAACCGGAGGACTTCCCAAAGCGTGTGGACTTCTGCCAATGGCTCCTCGACAGAAGTCGCGAGCCAGAGGTCATACGCAACGTTTGCTGGACGGATGAGAAGATTTTCGTGAGAAAGGGGATTGTCAATCAGCACAATGAGCATCATTGGGCTTTTAAAAATCCTCGTCTCACGAAAGAAACGAATTTCCAGTATCGTTGGGACCATATGAATATCTGGGGAGGCATCATTGGTGATGAAGTCCACATTCATCACCTTCCAGGACGTCTCGACGTAAGTAATGTTTATCAGCTACTTTATGAAAAATTATTGTTTGAAATTAATTTTGATTTTCTTGTTTCAGGGTGGCAATTACTTAGGATTTTTACAAGATCGTCTCGTAAATGTCATCGGGGACGGTCATGCGGAGAGGGATGTGTGGTTTCAGCACGATGGTGCTCCAGCTCACACCTGTGTCGCTGTGGTGGAGGCTCAGAATGAGTGGTTCCCGGATCGCTGGATCGGGAAGAGGAGCGACCGGGATAGAGGTGGAAACCTTCAACCATCGGTGGCGTGGCCTCCGCGATCTCCAGATCTCACTCCGCTGGATTTTTTCTTGTGGGGGACTCTGGAGTCGCGGATATACGCTCATCATCCAGCAACCCAGGAAGAAGTCGTCGGACTGCTGCACGCTGCAGTTGCATCTATCACCCCTGATCAGCTGGAGGCCATGAGGGGGAATCTCCTGAGGAGGGCGAGGCTGTGCCTTGATGCAGGTGGAGGCCACGTCGAAAACTTGCTGTAGCAAGAACCTCCCTTCGTCGTACCTTCTCCCGATGGAGCAAAAAAAATCGGCCCTTTTCAGGGCCACCACATCGTTTGTAACATAAAACTCTCATTTTCCCTACCTTCCAAAATCACGCTCTTCATCAATTTTCTAATAAACAATGGGGTTTCGGAGATTTTTCCATTAGTTATTTCTTGTCAGAAATCGAATTTGCAACAAAAAATGTCTGATGGAAAAATGCCGTACGGCCCATCGTTTTTTTATAACTTTCAAAAACTTTGAAGCAGTTAATGGCAATTATTAAATAAACAATTGGGCCCATGTGATTTTTCCATGAGATTATCTTGTTGCAAATTCAATTTGCAACAAATAATAATCAATGGAAAAATGCCAGAAACCTAATTGTTTAAAAGATAACGGCGAAAACAGGAGCGCCAGTGGGAATTTTCGGGAAAATCGTGGGCATTCCCCTTGCCATTTGTCGAACAATTAATTAATTATTAATTATTTCATAAACCGAGAATTTTAGCAAATTTTATCAGGACACCTTTTTTTTGTTAAATTTCATTGACAAGAAAAAAGCTTCACCGATAAAATTTGCTATTTATCGTGGTTAATGAGATAATTAATAATTAAACAATTGTCGCACAAATGGACAGAGGAATCGCTGTGATTTTCGGATTAATCGGTAGAAACACGCTCTTCATCAATTTTCAAATAAACAATGGGGTTTCGGAGATTTTTCCATTAATTATTTTTTGTCGCAAATCGAATTTGCAACAAAAAATGTCTGATGGAAAAATGCCGTACGGCCCATCGTTTTTTTTATAACTTTCAAAAACTTTTAAGCAGTTAATGGCAATTATTAAATAAACAATTGGGCCTATGTGATTTTTCCTTGAAATTATCTTGTTGCAAATTCGATTTGCAACAAATAATAATTGTTTAAAATGGAGATAATTATGGGCGGCTTTTCACCAAAAAATCACCAATCGGGAAAACCCGGAAATGATCGTGACCCATCGGTCAACGGTCATCTCCAAACCATCAAAAGTACAATCACCCCCCTCAACACTCTCTGTTCGAATCAATCAGTGAACGTGTCAACATCTAATCAAATCTCTCCGTAA